TTTGAAAAATAATTAAAAAATATTATTTTTTAGATATAAAATTTCAAACTAAACTTAATTAGATTGTTGTAAAAAATAAAAAACTCCATTGGGTTTAAAAGTGAAAGTTGATAGAAAACACAAATGAATTTTTTCGACGAAAAATCTCATGTTTGTTTTTTCTTTAACTTTTACGTCCAAAACCTATCCGATTTTTTTTTTTAATAGCAACTAACTAAGCTTAGTTCGAGGTTTTATAACTAAAAAATAACTTTCTTAATAACAACAAAATTGACAAAACTATTCGATTGATAGTTTTGAAAAAGTTGATGTACTTAAATGAAAAAAATTAATATTTATAATATACTCAATTGAGAAAAGGCTAAAAGTTGGTGTACTCATAACGTAATTATCCCTATTTTTATTATAATTTTTAATTTGACTGAAAATAAAATTAATATTTTAAAATCAGATTAAATGTCAAATATTAAGATGACTATTATGCATTATGATTTCAATTTTTTTATTTTATGAAAAGTAGTTATAATTTTAATATGTTTTGATTTTTTTTGTGCGAAAAAATTCTTCTTTGTTCTCAACAAATAAACAAGTTTTTCAATTTTTCATTAGAAAAAGAGAAGAAAATTAAAAATGAAAAAGAAAAATGATTTTCTGTTACTGAATAGACCCCAAAATTGTGACTATTAACTATAGAAAAAATTATAGTTTAAAAATATATTCTAATTTTTTAAGAATTGATGTATTGATGTATCCAAATTGTGTCACGTCTATCTCTGTGATTCTTGGTAGATAGCAAAACTACAGAGTAATATATTGAATTATGTATGCAATGCAATGGAGTAATATATTGAATAATGCATACAATGCAATGCAAGAAGTGAAACTTGATTATTTACCATGAAATTTCGAAAAATTTTAAAATAGTTAAAGAGTAATTATCAATATTTGTTTAATATGTTTTTTTAGAAGAGAGACAAACATAATAATAATAATAATAAAATCGTTTCGGATAGTTAAAAGTGAAAAGAATATTTTTACCTAAACGTTTTTTTTATTATTTTTTCTGTTTTATTTCTCTATTTATCTTCTTCCTATAAAATAAGTATTTTTAATTATTCTCTAAATATAATAAAATTTCTCATGAAATTCCTAGCTCTTAATTTTAACAAATCAAATTTTCAAGAATTGATGTATTGGAAATACTCCAAAGTGGTCATCCACCATGAAATTCGTAGCTACTTGCCAAAATCAAGAATCATTAAATGACCATCTAAATTTTAGAAATGTAAAATTATTATGTTATTGTTATGAAATAATGAATGTCCATCATCATGTTCATCCACTTTTCATATCTCCACTATTTATGATTTTTTAATATGATTCAATTCATAATTCAATATGAGAAATTAAAACGGTGATGCAATTGATTATTCATAATCCCTTCTAATTCTCTCCTCAATTTTGAAGCTTATAAATAAGCTTGATTGTTCATTAGTTGATGTATGAGTTTTTTAGAGAGAATAAGAGAAACTTTGAAGTTCTTATCACTTGTATTCACATTATAGTAATTTCATTTTCTTGTCAATCTTTTCTTCAATTCTCTTATTATTTCTATTTATTTTATAACGATTATGAATATCTTTCTAAAATTGATGGAAAAAGTTCTCTTCATCCATCCTCATTTATCTACATAAATTCTCGATCATTTGCTATTAAGGGATATACTTTTGACAAAAAAAAGAAAAAAAGAAAGATATAATTTTGAAACTAAGCATGTCGAACAAAATTCAAGCAATTGCTTCTCTCTTACTAATTGCCATATGCAGCAGCATGTTAGTCCAAACGGGTCCAGCTAAGCTGCCTCCACCACCTCAGATTCCAGGTCTGCCTCCTCTAACCCAAATTCCAGGCCTTCAAATCCCTGGAGCTCCACAAGATCTAATCAAATGCCGGCAACCCTTAACAAGCATACAAGGATGTCTTAATTCAGGTTTCAACAGCAACAAATTAAGGGAAAACTAGAAAAATGAAAAAAATAAAAATAAAAATCAAGAGACACTGTGCAATGACGACAAAACTACAATTTTGAATGCCTAACATTTGATTATTCTTTTTTGATGTTTAATTTTTAATTCTATCTATTTAAGTGTTCAACTTTTAATTTTTTCATTTGAGTTTCTCCCCAGTTTCATGAGACTGAAAAATGCTTATGCTATGTCCGGCATGATCTGATACGTGGTAAGAAATAAATTTCACTTGAATTATTTAGATAAAAATTAGTTAGTTCCATACAAGAGATCCATATCCTTCTCTTAACGTCCTTGTTTAACTATCATTGTTGTGTGTTCTAACAATGTATGTAGCACTAAATATTCAGGGCACTAATTATTTAGATAAATTTGAACTTCTTTAGCAAAAACTAGAATTTTAATGTCTGATTATTTTTCTATTTGTATATTACCTAATGTTTGATATATATATTTTTTTTGAGTTTCGTCACTCACATCTCACCTTAGACTAGAAAATAGTGATATGATCAGGATCCACTGATACATGGAAAAATATGAGTTATACTCAAATTTATTAAAAAAAGTTATAAAAAAGAAAAGTTGGTAAGAATTTTAAAAATTAAAAATAAATTTGAACTTCTTTAGAAAAAACTACAATTTGAGTGTCTGATTGTTTATCTATTTGTACATTACCTAATGTTTGATATATATTTTTTTGTTTGAGTTTCGTTAGTCACGTCTCACGTTAGACTAGAAAATAGTGACATGATCAGGATCCTCTAATACATGGAAAAATATGAGTTCTACTCAAATTTATCAAAAAAAAGTTATAAAAAGGAAAAGTTGGTAAGAATTTTAAAAAATAAAAATAAATTACTATTAGCAGAATGAACTCAGCAAGTTTGTTGATTAATTTCTTAAAAAACTTTTAAGATATTATAACCTAAACATTTTCTTTAACTAATTCAAGTTTATTCTACTCACAATAATTGATTTTATTTTATTTTTTTCTCAATAAAATCGAGTGAGAACAAATTTTTTTGCCATGTATTAGTTAAAGATTGTCGCTTGTCACTAGATCCAGAGTTAAGTTAGTATTTTTTATTCTTAGGCGACTGAAAAAACTCAAATGAAAAAAAATTAAATTTTGGACACTTAAATTGTAGTTATTTTTTAAAAGAAATTAATTTTTTTCTCCTAAATAATCCAATTAGAATCTACCTTTTGTTACATATCAAGTCATTTCGAATACATCAGTATTTTCTAATTTTAGATAATTAAGAGAATTCAAACAGAAAAAGAAAAATTAAAACTTGAGTATTTAAATAGATAGAATTAAAAGTTGGATATTCAAATAGAATAAAAATTAAAAGTTGAATACCAAAATTATAATTTTCTGATGCAATTATGTGTTCTTTTGAAGCTGTCAAAACAATTAAATTAGGAAGTTTGCAAAATATTTTATCAAGTCGGCTAACTCTGTAATTTAAATGAAAAGACGTAAGCTGAGTGTAAAAGGAGTAATGTTTCCGTCTGTTTACAATGAGCCTACCCGCACGCCTTTTTTTTCTTTTTCTAAATTACATGTCCAAACTGCCAAAAGAAGAACTAATCTGTTAGTATTTTAATTCATGATTTTTTATTATCAAGAGATTATTATTGTACTATAAGCTCTTTGGTTAAAGCGCTCATTTTCTATAACATAAAAACTAAAAGCAAAATGTAGATTTAACCGGCCAACGAATTGGCAAATACGCAGATGGTTTGACAGAGTAAACGAGACCACCTAGACTTCAGAAGCAATTAAATTTGAGTGGAAGTGCGATGTGAAAGACCAAATGTGCAAAGCACATTGCAAAGTCACTTCAGTGCGAAGCACCACAGAAGCTTATCAAACATCGTACATTCCATCACAATGAGTTAATGGCATGCATGTACTTGAATAAAACTAAAAATCAGAACTTCAGAGATTACTCAGAGATACCCCAAACGTAAAACGCAAATGTAGAGACAGAACACCTCAATATATGCAGTGAAGAATTTATTATTAAGTCAACTAGTAGCATAATATATTGCAACAAATAACACTATGATTAAACCAACCTTTGTTGCATTGTTGCCATAAACTTTTCTACACAGTAGTAAACAAGTACACTGTCCAGGGATTGGCTAGCTAGAAGACATTTTACATTCGAAACCCACATAAAAAAATCTCATAGCCATGGGAATCAACCGAGTAACTAAGCCAGTCCTGTTAGTTCCTAGGGGGTAAAGGATCTCTTTCCTTTACAAGTTTAAGCAAATTGAAAGTGAGAAACGGAGGACATATGTACTTGAAATGTTCTTACTTCTGAAAACTTCTGCATGTCCCGAAATAGCTCTAGCTTTTTCAGGCACAAGCAGACAGAACAAGGTTTTTTAAAAAAAAAAAAGAAAAGAACTAAAGAGAGAAACGCATATATCTAGACGCATTTTTTCAGGAATTATAGATCCTTGGCTGCATAGAAATAGTCGCTAAAACGACAGAAAACCACAGAATTAGAATAACATCAGAAGTGTCAAAAGTTAGAAACAGTCAAGTTCCTGTGGAGAAAACGATGAAGAAATCCCAACGCATAGGAATTAAAGATCCAAACCAAATTAAACTAGAAACGTTTCTCCTAATTTCACTATCACTCCCACTTTATTGTATTAAGAATAAGGAACTGACGCAATCAAGTACTAAAATTAAAACACCACATAGGAATAAACGGTTTGTCTTCGTTCTGTAATGACTCGGGAAAGAACGATGAGACCAAGCATTTCTATAGTTCACACAGAATCACTAACCCACAAACTATTCTTCCTAGGTTACGGCTTCTTTAACAATATCCACGTCTTTATATATAAAAGCAAGCAAATGTTTCAAATAAAATCAAAACCACACACACTTGACACTACATCCCAACCTACAGAAACGAAGCGATTCTGTAGTGAAGAAGGGAGGAGAGAATGTCTACTGGAGCTGCTGAGGTGATACTTCAACGTATCTTTACTGGAAGTATATCATTGGATGACATGGAGATCAGGCGAAGGCCATACCATCGCAACTGCAAATGTGCACTCCACAAGTTAAAAGATATTTGTTCCGATGCTTGTCCTCAGCAAAGGAATATATCCTTCACCAAGAAACAGGTACGGAGCGATCATTCCTTGTCCAAAGCTACTTCCAGACTCTCTTCTCCATCTTCTACTGCTGATGTTTCATCAATGAAAAAAGTTGGATCCTTATTTTGGGAGAGCGCTTCGGATACAACAAATGACAACTGAAATTAAGTGTTTGTATGCCCTCACAGTCACAGCCTCTCTTCTTTCTGATTTTATAACAAATACTGTATAAGATAATACGACTTTATACATGTAAATTCAATATCCAGATATTCAGAAAAGAAAATGGCGTTAGATGTTCAATGTCTAAACACTATTGTTCAATCTTTTCAGTACAAAGATGCTGAATTACATTGCTTAAATTATCACTGCCATCTTTCGAAGGACTGCTAGATTCCTTGGCAGCAAGATGTGCAAGAGTTCATAATCAGGATTCAGGGACCGCTGCATTGAACTGTTAAATACAGAAGCAACGTATACTCCCCATCGACACATGTTCCTTTTCCTTAGAGACAAAAATGGCCATATGCTAGGCTGCTACGCTGTTCCTGACTTCCCATTTATTCCCCTCCCCTGTACAGGTGGCTTTGTTTTAGATATAAATGGGAAAACCTATGGATAATTTAAGGTTAGATGCAGATAATTCACTGTCGTGTTTCTTCCTGTTGAGTTTCACATGTGAATGGAGAATTCTATATCCATTAGCAATAAGAAATTTAAGATGCTTACATATAAGATAGACCGACGATTCATCAATTTAGGTGTTTGGGTTAAAGAGATGTCCATCTAACTCCGTAGTGTAGATCTCCCCAACAATTGGTAGCGAACCCATGGTTCGGCTTGTGATGAGTGGCTATTGTAGACTCTCATAGATTTGCCGATTTCTCCATCATTAAACTCTGGATATCACACTCGAATTGTTAAACACGGAGGAAGAATAGTTTTCGATGCGAAAGAAAGATTCATACGTGAATGAGAGATTGGTTGAGTTGCAAATGTGAGTTGAGAATTTCCTATCAGAATAAAATTCTTTAGATGTTTATATATAAGATGAATTCATAACCACTAGTTTAGATTTTAGATTTAAAATGGTGTCCGTTGTTATGGGTAAATTCTCACATGTACAGGTCTAAGCAGATCTCCCCAACACTTCTAATGCCCCTGCGTTGCCTAGATCGTTTTCCAACTTTTCACATTGTAAACAATGTAATTCCTGTTTTTATGGAGACACTTCTTACATTGTAAACAATGCAATTCATGTTTATAGAGACCGAAAAAATGCACGTTGGATGATTGGTCAAGATTACAAACAAACAGTAGCATAAGTTAAAATCAAGAACCATATATATAATATGTCAAAATAAGGGTTTCTTCGTAGTTTCTATATCACGTGAAGACTAATTTTAATCCTGCAAAATCATTTTTTGAGAAATTTTATAATAATTAGTGACATGTATCTGTAGTTACTTCATGAATCTACTTAGAAGAGAGAGATTGACATTAAAAAAAAAGAGAGAAAAAAATTAAGTAAACATGAAAATCTTATTATCATTTTTGATAAATTTAGATATAATTTTATATATTTATCTTTTTTTTATGAAAGAATTTATAAGCCCTGCATTATCAAATTTCTCTTTTGTACCAAAATAGTTCCCTTCCGCTGGCCCAAGTCCAATGATAAAGTCGGTGTCTCTTCCCGTAAGTTGGGTATAAGGAATACCTCCGAAAGAATCATTCCTAAAACCCAACCTGAAGGATGGAACTTCTGGTCAATCTCAACAGGAACAAGCCAAGCTCTGTCCTAAATTTCTAGGAGACTCAGTTCATTACTAGGTATAATAAAGGGACCATCATAAGCGGCTCAAACAAAGCTAGAAATCCAACAACAAAAACAAACATATGAACAAACTATTGTCTTGTTCCTGTAAAACTATTTTGTCAGGAACTAATATCAGACCTAGTGAACACTACCATTTCTTCTACCGGCTCTTCCCATATTCTTGTTAATGAATTCTAGCTCCCATCTTTATATAAATGCTTTACAAAATTACGAAAATTTTCAACGACACTCAAAGTTGTAAATTACAGAAACATCGAAATACAAATCTTCCAACAAACATAAGCCTATAGCAAGACAGTGGGTTCTAAGGCAAAGAGGAGAGAAGAGAGCATGTTCATCGCAGCATTTGGCATAATGTTTTGCTGTGTCTTTGATGGATGCATATCAATGGAGAACATGGAGATTGAGCGAAGGCCTTACCATCGCAATTGCAACTGTGCACTGCACAAGTTGAAAGGTGGTAGCTCCACCGGTTTTCCTCAACCTAGAAACCTAGCGTTTCTCAAGAAACAGTCATGGAGAGATTGTTCTTTGTCCCTAGCAACTCCTACTGACTTTTCATCAACTAAGAGTAAAACAGATTCAAACAGCCTTGTTTACAAGCGAAGAAATTAAGATTCAGAAACAGTTTAATTGATTTATTGTTACAGTTCTTTCTCTGATCTTCCAGTACTCCTCAAGAGAGGAATTATTTTTTGATTCTTTGATTTGTAATTTCTTTTAAGCATGTAAACATTATTCTAAGTTCTTGTATTTCAAAAAATATGTCCAAGCATTTTGTTCTTTCATTTCTAGTCATCCTAAAGGGTAGTTCTTAATTTTTAAGCTGCCATTAATTTTACAATTTTTTTTGATAAGATATATACAATTAAGTGTGCACTATTACCATCCAGATTGATGAAGAAGTCCTGATCTACAATATAAAATTAAAAAAAAAAAAAATTAAGTTACTTTTGTGGTCTGGCATGAGAAAACTATATCAAGGCCCATATCCAAGGAAAAAAATAAAGACAAACATACAACAGAACAAACCTTGATAAGTCTTGTCTCTGTCTGTGTTCTTTTGTTAATGAATATATGCTGAATCCAAAGTGAAAAACAAGGAATAGCCATTTCTAAAGACTTCAAAGGCTAAATCAATCAAAAATCTTCTAAATTTTAATCAATTTAAATTAAAAATTAGTTTTTAAACTTTCAAGTTTGAATTTGACTTTCTTTAATTTTTTAAAAGATTTAGTCCATACTTGGTTTAAAAAAAAAAAAAAAATTGTCATATAAATAGCCTCATAATGAAAATCATTCGAGTAAATTTTATCGAAATTCTTAACAAAATATGAAGATAATTCATATTTATTTTTCATTTTTTTTTCCGATTTTCTATATTTTAAATGTTAACAAAATAAAATAATATACTTTCTATTTTGAAAAATTTTATAAATATATTGGTTGTCCTTAGTTAAGAATGAACTAAGTCTCAATAATAATAATAGTAGTAGTAGTAATAATGATAATTAAATAAAATTCAAATGAAGTAAAACCCAAATTTAAAAAATTAAAAATTGATTTTCAAATAAAATTAAAATTTTTTTGGACCCATTTAGCTGCTATGCCATTGAACAAGAAAACAAAATAATTAAAGGACAACAATCGAATAGAATCAAGGGGGTGCTAACCCATTGAGCATTCAAGAAGGCCCAATTACTAGGCTAGGGCATAAAAGTTTAAAGAGACTTTGAATGGGCGGAATCAAGACACATGGGTTGCACAAGTTTTCAAGGAGCTGAAGAACAAAGAGCTGGGTTTGGTCAACATGATCCAAGATATTGGGCCGAATATTATGAGCCCAAAATATGTATTAAAGCTAAATGAGAGTTGGACTCAGATGGGCTAACGTATTGGGCCAGAAGGCTGCTGATGTCTTTTGGGCCGAGAGCGTGAAGCATGATTGGGCCGTAACTTTTTGCTGCTACTGTTTGCTGATACTGGCCAAATAGATCAATAAATTAAATAGGCAATCCCTTTTTTTTTTTTTTTTTCATTTTCGTTTATTTCAAAAACACCTTAAATGGATTCATTTATAAGAGAGATCAAACTCCAAATGAGACTTTTTAATCCGAACAAATCCATTTTTTTTATTTTTTACTAATTTAATTACAGAAGAATTCAATCTTCTATTTATCTTATCCACTTTGTACAAATGTGGACCCCAATTTTTGTAATCCTCTTCCTCTCAATCTCGTACCATCAATCATCCTCTTTCCCTCTCTCTCCCAAACCAAACCATGTCCATTACTTCACTTCACTTCCACCACCATGTCCTCCCCTCTAACCCCTCCTCCACCACCACCTCTCCTCCCTCACCACCACCACCACATCCCTTCTCTCCTCTCTTCTGCCGCCATAACCCGCCGCTCCTTTCTACTCTCCACATCCCTCTCGACTCTCTCTCCACCTCAACCACCCCTTGACACCACCATAACAGACCGTGTATTTCTTGACTTTTCCATCTGCTCCAATTACTTCCGCTCCGACCGGACCCTCTCCGATACCTTTTCCACCCTCTGCACCGACTCAGTTCCCCTAGGTCGCCTAGTTCTTGGCCTCTATGGCCACTTGGTCCCTCTAACCGTCTCCAACTTCAAAACAATGTGCACTTCATCCTCTTACAAGAACACGCTAGTCCATAAAATCTTTCCGGGTCAGTTTTTTCTTGCGGGGCGGCAAGGAAGGAGAGAAAAAGGAGAGGTGAAAGTGCCTCAAGATCTGGCAAGAAATATTGAGACCGTTGATTCTAAGGCTTTTAAGCTAACACATTCAAGACCTGGGATTGTTTCTTTGTGTTTATCAGAGAATGATGACGAGGATAATATTAAGCTTGATCCTGATTACAGGAATGTTGAGTTCTTGATTACTACAGGACCTGGTCCTTGTCCACAATTGGATTCCAAGAACATTGTTTTTGGAGTGGTTCTTGAAGGTCAGTTCTTTTCTTTAATCGTTTTTGTTGAATTGTTTCTTGGGTTTGGTTAATATTTTGCTATTTGTATAGAACTAGGAATTTCTTACTTTATTTTCCTTTATGGGTTTAATTTCTTCATTTGAGTAGGCAAATATTCATAATTAGAAGAACCAAATGTGATGAAGGAGAGAGCATTAAGCTTAATGACTATAAATTAATCTAGAGGTTACACTATTCATAAAAAAATTCTTGAAAGAAACTGCAGGAAGGACTGTTATGAATTAATTCCAGATCTGATAACTTCTATTCCTGATTAATAAGCTTTGCAGAAACGTTTAAAGGAATTATCGTATTACATCTCCATTTTTGTATTAAAAAAATGCTCAGCCGCTCCGCTCTCACATTGCATCTCCAAGTCCAGACTAATTCTCTTCTCTCCGCATTACTGGGAAGAAGATCCAATTTGATACTCACCATGTCGAACAAAGTTCAAGTAATTGCTTCTGTATTACTAGTGGCAGTATGTAGCTCCTTGTTGGTCCAATCAGGGCTAGCTCAGCTGCCACCATTGCCTCAGATTCCCGGCCTGCCCCAAATTCCACTACCCAAAATTCCAGGCCTACCTTTAATTCCTGGTCTGCCCCAGATACCGGGACTGCCTTTGTCTCCTGCACTACCGAAAATTCCAGGCCTACCTTTAATTCCTGGTCTGCCCCAGATACCGGGGCTGCCTTTATCTCCTGCACTACCGAAAATTCCAGGCCTACCTTTAATTCCAGGTCTGCCCCAGATACCGGGGCTGCCTTTATCTCCTGCACTAGGCCAAATTCCAGGTCTACCGCTAATTCCAGGTCTGCCTTTAACTCCTGTGCTACCCCGAATTCCAGGCCTACCTTTAGTTCCAGGTCTGCCCCAGATACCGGGGCTGCCTTTATCTCCTGCGCTACCCCAAATTCCTGGCCTACCTTTAGTTCCAGGTTTGCCCCAGGTTCCTGGGCTGCCTCGTCCTTCTCTGCTACCCAAGATTCCAGGCCTACCTTCACTCCCAGGTCAGCCCCACGTTCCGGGAATGCCTTCTCCTCCTCCGCAACCCCAAATTCCAGGCGGTCCAATGCCTGGAACTCCAGCAGCCATACCCAATGCTGGACACCAGTAGCCAACGTACCAGGATGTGTTGTGGAAATTACACCTCTCCTTAATGGTCAGTTAAGCACCATGGGATCAGCTTGTTGCAAAGCTTTTAATTCAATAAACGACATTTGTATTCATAAAATGTTTCCTTTAAATCCACTCTTCGCTTCATTGCTCAAGGCCACTTCTACCCAGAAGGTCAAACTAGAATTGAAGGATGGATTTGCTTAGCTTTAATTTTCTCCAACCTTGGTCTTCTTCTGTTACCTGTTTTCAAGTAGACAGTTCTTCTTCTACTTGTATTTTGAATTATTAATTTTTTCCTTTTAAGAATGAGGAATAATAGATCAGTTCCAGTTTCTTCCATGGACTTTCTCTCTTTCTCTAAAACAAACACACACATGCACGCACAATCACACAGCAGGTGCTTGATCTAAAATTAAATTAGTCACCCTTTCCCCCAGGAAATAAATCGATATCCATGCCTTGTTCTTAAAAATGAACTTACTATGACAATCGTCCATACTAAATGTTTTATGGAGATTAGTCCACTCTCTCACCTGGTTTAAGCAGTAAAATTCGCTGGAGATTTGTTTAGAGATGTTGTCAATTTATTGCTAGTTTCATATCAGTAGTTCTTGATAGAAAATTCTGCAACGATCTCACTTAAGCATATTTCTCTAGAGAATCAAGCTATTATTTGCCAAAAAGCCCAAAATTAATCAATCTTCTCTCATTTCAATCTCAAGTTATAGTATAATGATGAGGTTTTTACTGAAATCACCGATAGCTTCTGAGTTTTTGGTTTTGGGAGGTGAAACTGTTTCAAGATATGAACTGTTGATTCTAAGGCATTTAAGCTTGCACATTCAAGACCTGTAACTGTTTCTTTGTGTTTTGTGACTTTGTCTTAGAATGATGAAGAGGACGTTATTAAACTTGATCTCAATTGTAGGAATGCTGAGCTTTCAATTCCTACATGACCTGGTTCCTTTCATAAACATTTGAAGGAATTCTCTTTATCCGTCCTCATTTATTACCATAAATTGTGAGTCCCTATACCGTTTCATCTCCAAGCCTAGAAATTGTCTTCTCTTAGCATCCTTAGAAAGAGGATAAACATGAGACTAACCATGTCGAATAGAGTTAGCAATTGCTTCTCTCTTAATAATTGCAATATGCAGCAGCATGTTAGTCCAATCAGGGAAGCTCAGCTGCGTTTCATGACCCAGATTCCAGGCCTACCACTAAATCCAGGTCTGCCACTGCTTCCTCCTCTACTCCTAATTCCGAGCCTTCCAAATCCTGGATCTTCACAAGATCTAACTCAATGCTGGTCATCTTTAACCAACATACCAGGATGTGTCATGGAAATTACACACTCTTCTTCATGGTCAATTGGAACTTTGGGACCAGCTTGTTCTGAAGTTATTGTCTTAGTCAATGACCAGCTTGTGTTGCAAAAATGTTTCCATTAAATCAACTCTTCCCTCCATGCTCAAGTACATATGTGATCATGCTGTAGGGGATGCATCTGCTGCCAGTCCTAAGTCAAATGGGTTGCTCTAGAAAGTGAAGGATGTAGTAGTTTAGCTTTTTACTTGTGTTCTGTTAGGACAAGTACAGTATAGTTTTTATTTTGTAAACTAGCAATAAGATATCAGTTTCGGTTTGACTTTTCATTTTAATGCATATTGCTTAGCCCTATCCATTCACTACGACATACCATGTCAACACTCCCATTCTTTGTTGACTGTGAAGTTCCGTTCAATTGAGATTTTGGGAGTTTTTGTTGCGCATTACCATCTAGTCAGATTGATTTAGAAACAATCACTTAAGTGCTGTCAAATGTTCCCGTGCACACACATAAAACTCTGTAGAGGGAGTTTGTGAAAGTGTAGTTCTGATGAGTTTATCACCAACAACGATTACATTGCTCACTTTTTCGTTTGAATTGCATTACAGGGTTAGATGTTGTGACATCGATAGCTTCCATCCCGATATACAAACCAGCAGAAAGAATTCGCCAATTCAATGACTTGGCGGAGTTTCTTGGTGATGAAAGAGCGCAAAATGCTCGAACAATATGGAACAGGCCTCTTAAGACTATTTACATCAGTGACTGCGGAGAGCTGAAAGTGACAAAACCCTCTCTTCCTCCTAGCTTACCATAGTTACATTGTTTGTTATATTCATTTGTTCAGGTTCCATGTTTGCCTCCATGTGTAAGCAACTGCAATTCTTTTTTCTCCTACTTGAGGACTTTGTAATACGTTCGAAGGAATAAGAATGAAAGTAACATGGCCTATTATTATATGAATCATGATTTCAAATAGCCTATTCATGGTTGTCTTTGGACTTGTTGAATTCTTCGTCCCCTGTTATTTGATTGAATTATTTTGATTTTTCATGCCAGTGGAGAATTTTGAACATGGCAAGCATTATGTGCTTGCCAAACATATCCTAAATTAGCAAAATAATTATTGTTTTCGATATTTCAAGATACTTTGAAAACGCTCTTGAACGGGTATACATATGGATACTTTGACCGTTGACTGTGGGGGAAATTATATTTAAGAATGTATCCTAATTTTTTTAAGATATTCATATATCTATGATTTTCAGCAGACAACAAAAATATAATTTCATGAATCAGGTATCCAATCTACCAAACTTTATCATTCATCATGAAATTCCTAGCTCTTCAAGAAATCAAGTTTTCAAGAACAGATGTATTGGTAATTCACCAAACCTGGTCGTCCACCATAAATTTCCCAGTTACTTACCAAGTCAAGAATCATTAAATGACCCTCCAAATTTTATAAATGTAAAATTATTATGTTATAAATATCTTTCTAAAACAAGTTTGAAAATTCTCTCTTCATTCATCCTTATGTGTTTATATAAATTCTCAGTCATCCCCAGAAAGATGTATAATTTAGGGGGTAAAAAAAGAGATAATTTTGAAACTAAGCATGTCAAACAAAATTCAAGCAATTGCTTCTCTCTTACTAATTGCAATATGCAGCAGCATTTTAGTCGAAATGGGTCTAGCTCTGCTGCCTCCACCACCACCACCTCAGATTCCAGGCCTTCCAATCCCTGGATCTCCACAAAATCTAATTAAATGCTGGCAACCTTTAACAAGCATACCAGGATGTGTCATGGAAATTCTCACATCTTTTCTTGGAGGTAATATAGGACCTGCTTGTTGCAAAGCTTTGATTTCAATTACTGAAGATTGTATTCCAAAAATGTTTCCTTGGAATCCATTAGTCTCTCCCTTCCTCAATACTGCTTGTGGTAATACTGGAGGGTCTGCATTCGCTCCCAGTCTTAAGCCAAAGGAGTCAAACTAGAAGTGAAGGTATTGTGGTGTTTGCTTTCTCTGAGTTGACAGGAATATTTCTGTTAACATATGAATAGTTTAGCTTTGCTTCTATGAATAAGGAATAAAAAGTTCAATATCATTTTTCGTTTTAATGTATTGCTTATCTCTCACCAAAACTTCTACTAAAAACAACATACAAGTACTGTTTCTATATTCCCATTCTCATAATCAAGTTGGTTGTGAAGTAACTGATGAAAAACTATAGTCATTCGGTATGCTTCTTTTGTTGAACCGAAAATATGATTCCATGGTAATAAAAGTTGGCCAATATACGATTCCATGTTTCTAGCTCTCCATGAACAATCTGTTTTGAGATGATCTGTTGGAGCTTATGAAATTGATGGAGTATGAGCATTTTTTTTCCCCTAACTTTTCTGCCGTGTAATATCTTATATGAGTAAACTAGAAATAATGATCTCTTGACTATTTCTCAAATCAGAATATATCAAACTTAACTCAAATGACTCTGTTAAATTATATAAAGGACGTGCTTCATCACGTATAAGTCCTAAGAGATACTATTAGTGTATATCTTGAAGGATTTGCCTATAATATAGGAATTTGTTCTATTATTAGAGACGAATTGTAAGCAATTTTTGCAGGCTTAGAAACTGTTTATGATATGAGATTCATTAGAGGTAGAATCATATTCTAAAGCTTAATTAATTCAAAAACATTTATGTATCTATCCCGCTAATGCTTACTTAGTCAAATCGATTCATTTATTGCTACAACGTACTTGACATATTCGAACTACTCATTTTTATAGAGAGACAAATTGCTCCGCAAATTGATTGATAAGCTATGCTTTCTCATCGTCACTAGGTCTATATCAATTCCCAAGTATTCTATCTAGTTGTTTTTCTATCATCTTAGAAGATATGTATGAGATTAATTTCTTTAGCTTATGTGTTGTGTAACTTTTTTCTAGAATTTTTTTCATAAACTCTCCATTCAATAAAAAAAAAAAGCTGGCAAGTTTATAAATTTAAGGTTTAAATTGTATAGATGATATATTTCATATAAGTGAATAAACCTATATTATTCAGATTTGGGATTCATATGTAACGCTTTCGGACCAGCTTGTCAATGACAATTGTGTTGCAAAAAAAGTTTCCATCAAATCAACTCTTTCCTCCATTTCTCAAGTATTTATGTGATTGTGCTGGAGCCTGGAGGGGATGCATCAGCTGCCAGTCCTAAGCCAAATGGGTCGCACTAGAAAGTAAAGGAATTAGTATTTGTTTACTTTTTACTTGTCTCTGACCATGGATTTTGGTTGCTCTTTTCGAGTTCTGTTAGGACAAGAAAAGTATAGTTTTGCTCTGATCAACGAGGAAAAAGATATCAGTTTCAGTTTCGTTTTTCATTTTAATGCATATTGCTTAGCTCTAACTAGAACATCCATTCACAACGACATACCGTGTCAATGCTCCCATTCTCTGTTGACTGTGAAGGTCCGTTCACTTGGGATTTTGGGAGTTTTTGTTGTGCATTACCATTGATTGAGAAGCAATCACTTAAGTGCTGTCGAATTTTCCTGTGCACAAAGATGAAAATATGTAGAGAGAGTTGGTGAAAGTGAAGTTCTGATGAGTTAATATGTCACCAACAACGATTACATTGCTCACTTTCTCGTTTGAATTGCATTACAGGGTTAGAAGTTGTGACATCCATAGCTTCCATCCCGACATACAAACCATCAGATAGAATTCGCCAATTCAATGACTTGGCGGAGTTTCTTGGTGATGAAAGAGCACAAGATGCTCGAACAATATGGAACAGGCCTCTTAAGACTATTTACATCGGTGGCTGCGGAGAGCTGAAAGTGACAAAACCCTCTCTTTCTCCTAGCTTACCATAGTTACATTGTTTGCTATATTCATTTGTTCAGGTTCCATGTTTGCCTCCATTTGTATGCAACTGCAATTCTTTTTCTCCTTCTTGAGGACTTTGTAATACGTTCGAAGGAATAAGAATGAAAGTAATATGGCCTATTATTTCATGTATCACGATTTCAAATAGCCTATTCATATTTGTCTTTGGACGTGGTTAATTTTTTGTCCCTTGATTGAATTATTTTGCTTGTTATGCTAGTGGAGAAGAAATATTAACAAAATAAATATTGTTTTGGATATTTGAAGATAATTTAAAATGTATCCTATTTTTTCAAGAATTGATGTATCCATGTATCTGTATCCATCTCTATAATTTCCACTAGATAGGAAAAATATAATTTATTTAATTATGTATCCAATACACCAAATTTTATCATTCATCATGAAATTCCTAGCTCTTTAACAAATCAAGTTTTCAAGAATTGATGTATTGGTAATGCACCAAACTTGGTCATTCCCCATAAAATCCCTAGCCACTTATCAAATCAAGAATCATTAAATGACCCTCCAAATTTTAGAAATGTAAAATTATTATGCTATGATACAAATAGATTAGCTCGAGTGTACAGAGATTTAATCATTTAAAAAAATAGTTTTGAATTTGAATACTTATATATGTAAAAAACTATTGAGATAGTTGTCTCTATTTTATACATTCAACTGAACAATGAGTGATTAATTTGAGGTTTTGAAGTTAGGATACTCTAGAAGATAATAAAAATAAAAATATTATGTTATAAATTCTTTATAAAAATGTTGGAAAAAGTTCCCTTCATCCATTCTCATTTGTTTATATAAATTTTCAATCATCCCTACAGAGAGATATGATTTTGGAACTAAGCATGTCGAACAAAAGCAAAGCAATTGCTTCTCTCTTACTAATTCCACCATGCAGCAACACGTTAGTCCAAACGGGTCTAACTCAGCTGCCTCCAACACCTCAGATTCCACGTCCGCCTCCTTGATCTACCCAAAATTCCAGGCCTTCCAATCCCGGAGGGACCGCACCTGCTCCTAATCTTAAGCCAAATGGATCAAACTAGAAGCGAATGATATTGCAGCGTTTGTTTTTTCTGAGTTGACAGGTATATTTCTGTTAACATATGAATAATTTCGATTGTATTCCAAAAATGTTTGCTTTTGTGAATAAGGAATAAAATTTCAATATCATTTGTCTAAAAGATTTATAATTATGCAGAACACTACGATATATAAATTCATTCTATTTCACATAATTTTAAAAGAAAACATATCTTAATTCATTCATATCTTTGAAAAATAACGAAACGCAAAAAATGGATGAAAAAGGGTCTCTCTTAGCCTCTTTCTTAATGATAAAATAAACATATAATAACCTCCTCCTCCTTTTCCTCCTCCTCCTTCTTCTTCAGATCTTTGTTGTTGACATCAGAAGGTAAAAAAAGGACCGGACTCCTCCTTTTATAACATTAACCAAAATCTGTCATCAAGATTTATCATGTATCATCATTAATTAGATAAATTTTAAATATACATATATCATAATTAATATTACGTATCTTAATTAATTAAATATATTTAACATTTTATGCATAGGTCATAATTAATTTTGTATTCAAGATACATGTATCATGTGGACCATAATTAATTTTATGCTCTCATACTTGATCCATATGATATTGTTTTTACATACACTATAATGCCATATCATTATTAAATTAAAATACTATTGTGAGTCATGACGATTGTATGTCATTTTCTTGATATCTTCCCATTACGTACCACAACACTAACATTCAACTTAACACGTTCTTTAATGAGAATAATAATAATTTAATTTTGATATTTTTATTATAAGATTATTCTTGTCAATATTATTCTAAAGCAATTATGTATAAAAATAGAAAACACGAAATATCAAAAACATATAAGTTTTAAGTGTCAAATATATAAACTTAATAAACATGCTTTAAATAATTGGTAAACAAATACTAAACCCTTCGAATTGAAATTACCTTTGCTGAATCTTTATGTAACAATCCAAAGTTATTAGCAACAGGCAAAATACTATCAATATACAAAATCACAAAGATAAACATGCTTCTACTAAAGCGAAGGGTGTAGTATTTATTTAGCACTAGAATTGTTCTGTATCGAACCAAATGACAAGGAGTTCAAATTCCACCACTAATGGGATATGAATAATTTCACTCTATTTTTGTCTAATAGATGAATTCCATTTTTCATTTTAATGTATAGCTTATATCTAACCAACACATCCACCCATGTACAAGAACATATTGTTAGTATAATCTTGATGAGGATGTAAATTTTTGGCTTGTTTGAACGGTTACATGTATGTATGTTTTTTTTTTTTTTTTTATCATGAGCTGGAGATTTGTTTTTGTCTTGAAGTCCTATGTCATGTGCTTACAAAACATGATCCTTTTTCAGTGTGTTTGACGATATCTAGAGAAGATATACACTGTTATTTTGTATGTAGTATAGAGGGTGTAGGAGGTCGAATCTCACTTTCTTAATAAACATGATGTTAACCTTCTTATAGTGGTAGAGATGATTAACTTATATGAAGTGAATGACGTATTTATCTTTTTAAAAGAAAAATATATATATATATTTTTTATTATCAGCTTCGATTGGAGTTTTTGAAAGTTAAGAATTCGCATAGGTGAATGTCTTATGGGTATTGATGTAAATACCATTATTTTTAAAATTTAGGAGAGTGAACTAAGCTTCAAAATTAGTGATAGTTTGGCAAACTAGTGTTCCTGGTTGTGAGAGTTTCTTTGGTATGAGAATTTTGTATGGACATATTTAGAACAGGTGGATCTCTTTTCCATAATTCGATGAAAGACACATGTAGAGTTATATTTTTGTGCGTATATCAATTTTTATTATCAATATCAAGTTGACTCGTGAAGTAAAAATGAAAAAATGTAGTCATTCAAGTATGCTTCTTCCATTATGGAAAGATATCTGATTCCATAATAATAAAATGTTGATAAAAATTGTCATCTTTAACTTTATGGTTTAGATTATATAGATGGTAAGTTTCATACGGATTTTAAAAAGTAAAAATGAAAAAAAAATATTCATCTTTTGTTTAATTATGATAATTTAATCATCTATTTACCCTAGTTATCCTTCATTCGTTCTTCATTTAAATCAGCTTCCTTGCCATGCAAGCGCCTAGCGGCCGGCAAGGATATGTAAGTGTAATTTATTTATTTATTTTTTGATACATTTATTTCAAAAGAATGGAATAAAATAGCATGTCATTTTATCAAATCGATTTGGTTAGATCTATCTCTATTCGTGAAAAGAGATATAATTGACAACTCCTCCATCATTATCGATATCACCTACTTATCCCTCCATCCGCCTTGATTAGTAAACTCCGTTAGTTTAATCAAATATCGTTATGTAAACTAGTAAACTAAACGACAAAAAGTTTCTTAACCACTACAAAGTTTTTTTTTTTTTTTTTTTAAGAATGTGAAGATTTTGAAATACCAATTCATTTTAAAAAAAAAAAAAAAAACGTTGAAAAGTAGTCAATTTTCGGATTTTTTTTATAAAAAAAAGTAATAAATGGATGATACGTTACACGTGGCCATGTTTAGTTGTTTAGGAGGCTTAGAGGGATGTACTGTGGAGCATTAAATAGCTTAAAGAGTTCTAATTAATTTCGCTGCAGTGTATTTGGTACACGGGGCGGCTTCGCAACCGACTTCACAAGGTCGGTAAAGAGTTAATGCGTGGCTATGAGCTCATGCTTAGTTTCTCTTGCTAAGCTAAGCAATACAATATGGACACAATTAATATAGCCCATTAAGAAACTAAATATGAAATATATATATATATATATATATATATTTTCATAATTTTTTTCTCAAAAGATATATATTTTTTCATAGTAAAATATTTTCTTGGAAAAAATGTGTTTATATATTTTTCGGTAATATGTTTTATATACATTTATTTTTTAGAAAAAATAGTTATATATTTTTTTTAAAAAAAATTGTTTCCAGCATCTATTTATTTTTTAATTACTTTTTCCTTTAAAAAAATTATTTCTGATTTTTTAAGTTGGTGTACCAGGTGTCATTCATTCAATGACTTATAGGAAGTTAACTAACAACGTTTGGTCAAACTAATGCATCTCATTAATGTAGGTGGATGAAGGAGCAAATAGGTGGCATCTATGATGGCAAAGAAATCGATTATGCTATTTATCGGATAAAGAGACAAATCTGACAAAATTGATGTGGTACGGAGACTTATGGTGACTTTACTTCGAAAAATAAAGAAAAGTAATATATGACCTTATAATTTCATGAATTAATCATGATTTCATAATGTCGCATAGATGAGTGGACAATATGCTTTTTAGAGGGAAGAGATGCTGAAATGGCAGTGTATGGATTTTTTGGACATGTTTAATTGTTTCCCTTTTTGGTTGAACTATTTTTTGGAGTTAAATAGTATTTTTATCTTATTTCTAATAGATTGTTTAAAATTATATATAAATGAGTAAATTTGAATTTTTTTAAATGAATTTTTTTAATTTCAAATAATTTTTTTAAAAAAATGAAGCATATAAAATAACTTTTAACTAGGCTTAAGTAAAAAGTTGAGACAAAAATTTAATTATGTTTCAAAAGTTAACAGTTATAGTTAAGATAAATATATATAACTTTAAAATTATAATTACTATGGACTTTTCACCAAACATTATATTATTGTAAACTATTTTTAATTTAAATAGTTCTTTTCAATTATATTATATGTGAATATATATTAAAAATATGGATATGAATAAATATTTTAATTTTTTTTTACATTCTTTTTAGTGTTATTAGTGTTTTTCCAAACGAGAAGAAAATAGCAAAATGAAATAACCTATAAAAAATTAACTAAAGATTCAATTTAATTACTTGATGAATTCTAATGTAATATTGTATAGAAATTTTTAATTTTAAATATTTTTTTCAATTATATATGTGGTGTAAATATAAATTAATAATACATATATGAATAAAAATTTTATAAATTATTTTTTCAATAAATCTTGCCTTTTTTATATTATCAGTATTTATGCAGGATAGTAAAAAAAAAAAAAACATTAACGTACATCAATGATAAAAAATAACATGTAAAAAATTAACTAAGGATTCAATTTAGTAATTTGATGGATTTTAATGTGATTTAATTATTTTCATATTTTTATATTTTATGTTCTTTATTGGTTTGTTTTTAAGTTTTTTTTAGAGTTTTGAAAGTCAAATAAAGCACTACTATAGTACTATATAGTTTAAGAGTGTAAGTAGTTATTTTATATTATTTAAGATTTTATGTGGTGTATAAATAAAAAAAAATTAATGAAAAAAAATTCAAGATTAACCTATATTTTAGAATTTTTTTTCCTAAAATATAGCTTATTTTTTAAGAAATATTGGTATTTTTTTTTAGTAGAGCAGCGGTTAAATTTACTTATTAGTATTGTTGTTATTGTATCATAATATTAATATTATTTTAAAAATATAATACTCAATCAAAAGTTTTTAAAAAGTTCGTATTTACATATATTTATATATATATAGTTACGGATTAGGATATCATGCACGAGGAATTTTTTCTCTAAAGTAGAATTTGCCTATTTTTCAATTTGGTAATTTACAGCGACTATAGTTACTTGGTAAGAGACTTTGCACGAATGGTAATAGAGTATGACAATAATTGATCCAAATTGTTTGTTTCTCAGGAAAATGAGGTACACATCATTTGTTAACTTCATCTTTCCAAGATAAAAATGGCATTTTTTCCTTATTCTCCTCCCCATTCAATAATTGATGTAAGAAAATAAAAACATCTTGAGTGCTAAATAGCCTAGTTAATAAAATAACTGGCCATAATATTGAAAACAAAAACTCAAAATACCTTGTGATTTATGAGGTCATAAAATATAGAGCTGTCATTAATGTTACTGTAATCCAAGTATTTAACAAAAAGAAAAGAGGGTAACGAAAAAATTTCTCTTATTACCTACCTAGTAACCTTTTTTTTTTTAAGTTCACATTAAAGATTTTTTCGGTTCAATTTTTACGTATTTTGAGATTAATTCATCTGTAAATGTGGTTAAGGGATATTTTTTTAACGCATGATTTCGAATATTTTGAGAATAAATTCTCAAAAATATTGACTGCAAGAATCATATTATAAATTTGATTTATAAATCGATGTTTATTTATCTTCGTATTATGGTTATTTGGTACCGAGAAATTTTATTATGCTCGAAAGTAATTTGTGACATGTCGGTTATTATCTACATGGAGAGAGATAGATCCAAAAAAAAAAAAAGAGAAACAACAAAAAAAAATTAAACGAATATAAAAATCCTCTTATCATTTTTTATAGATCCTGGTATAATTCTCTCTTTCTTTATCCGTCTATCTCTTTTTTCAAAAATAAATCTATAAAATAAGTATTATCCGTCTGACTAATTATTCTTTGAGCATCTTAAAAAAAAAAAGTACATATTTCAAAAACTATACGATTTAACTTTGTTGGGCCAGTAATCGACTGAAAACAATTAGTCAAAAAATCAATCAAATCCAACCCAAATTGGTTTGTAGCTAGACTACCCTTAATAAGGGGGGACCAATTGTAGCACAACCCTTAATAAGAGGGGACCGTTTTGTACGTCAGGGTCCAGTCCAGAATGACACAAGACATGGTCACCTCTTTCGCTGGCTGGTCCTGCATGGCTGCACGCCTCACCTCCTTATCTACACACCACAGGGACCACTCTCCTCTCTTTCCCTCTTGTGAAACCCTATAAAGCCTAAAGAAAAAACCTTCATAGACAGCAAAAAAAAATAAAAAATAAAAAGTCAAATCCTAATCTGGTCCCCACCTTAGCTGCAACACACAAGTGTACGAATCTTATTGGCCTGATTCTTCTGCCTCGTGCTCCCGTGTTGTCCCCACTTTTGTGGTCCATGAAACCTTGGGCTGACATGTGTCCTTCTTAAAAACAGTTCGATTGTTGCTGTTGTTGTCCTAACACTGCAAGTGGCCTAAGAAGTAGGCAGGCCGAAGGCAAAAAATACTACTAGTACTGTGTAAAGCTTGACTTACGAATAGTAATACTTGATCATATACGTGTCATCAAATCTGGTCGTTAAATAGCCTCTATTAATAGTCGACCCAAAAAACAAGCCGTCCAATATAAAGTCAGTCCTCATGTGTTTCTAATAGTTTCATATAGCCCCTATGGGTTTTAAATTATTGCTAATCCACCATTTAATTTGACCCAATTTTCTCAATTGGTTCTTTTTCAGCTAAATATTAATAGAATTTAGTCAAAATTGTTAGGATAGAATATGTATGGCAATGAGATATTTGGATTGGAAAAACTAAGGATAAAATTAATTACTGGCTTAAAAATGTTAAAATGACTATGTAAAAGAAATATATTTTTTTGTTTTTTGTTTTTTTTTTTCAAATTTCATTTAATAAATTTTGTTTAAGACAAAACCATACCGATGTTATTCTGTTAATCAATGATAAATAACTAATGTCGCTTCATGAATGTTTTATTCTTTAATAAAATAAAAGGTAAATTTTATGTTAATCTTACTAAATATTAATGAAATTTAGTGAAAATTATTAGGATAGAAGATGCCCGGCAATGAGATAATCTGGATTGGGAAAACTAAAAATAAAATTACTTACCGGCTTAAAAATGTTAAAATGACTATGTAAAATATAATTTTTTTTTGTTTTTTGTTTTTCTTTTCAAATTTTATTAAATAAATTTTGTTTAAGATAAAATCATACTGACGTTATTCTATTAATCTATGATAAATAACTATTGTAGCTTCATGAATGTTTTATTCATTAATAAAATAAAAGGTAAAGTTTACTTTAATCTTGCCTAAATAAATAAAAATTATTCATGAAAAAAATCAAAACTAAAAAATTCATCATAATCTTACTTATTATAGTTTGATATTTGATTTTAGGTGATATTGGAGAGAGTTTGTGTCTTATTGGGTTAATATTATAACTTTAATAACTATTTTGAAACTGGTTGAAAGATGAAGGACTACGTTGTAGCTGACCTCAAAAAACAAAAGACTTTCTCTTTCTCCTCCATTTTCTTCTTCTTGTTCATGCTTTCACTCCACTTCAAAACCTTCTTTCATTCGAAAAAACCACACAGACCCACTTTTCTTTCCTTCCAATATCTCCCCCTCTCCTCCATCTCCCTCTTTCTCTCTCTTTTTTCTTCATTTTGAAATGAAAACCCACTTCTAATGGCTTTCCAAGACCACCACCATATACCACAAGAAATGGCTTTTCAACTACCACACCACCACCTCTCAGCCTCAACTTCCAGCGGTCCCACATGGCTAAGCAACGCAGTCCTCCGTAGAAACGAAGACGTTTTAACCCAAACCCGCATCGAAAAATCCGAAAACAACCCCAGCAATGGAAGTGAAGAGGACTTGATTGATTCTGTGAGTGATAATTGGGAGAGAGCTAAATGCAAAGCTGACATATTAGGGCATCCTTTGTACGAACAGTTATTGGCTGCACACGTGGCTTGTTTGAGGATTGCCACGCCAGTTGACCAGTTGGCTAGGATTGATACACAGTTGGCTCAGTCTCAAGATGTTGTATCTAAGTATTCTGGTGTTGGTAGTAGCCATGTTGTTGATGAGAAAGAACTTGATCAGTTCATGGTAATTACTATCTTTCATCTTTTTAATGTTTTTTTTTTAATTATGTGTGGTTTTGTGTTCTTTAATGTTTGTCTTTCCTGTCGTTTTGATTTTTGTTGATTTTGAGTGAGTTCATGTTTGATTTTTTTTTTTTTTAATTACATACATGAGATATTCATGTTTATGGTTGTTTGGTTAATTAATGGTCCTTAATTTTTGTGATTTATCTTGTGATTTCTTTTTATTTTGTTTTCTTATGAACGTTTATTGTACTTGTTAAAATTCCAAACTGGAAATGACACTGAAACTTCCTTCTCTTCCTTTTTGCTTGCACCTTATTTTGTCCATTTCGGAGAGTGTGTTAAGTAGGATGAACCATTTTGATATATGTGAAAGTGAATAGGTTTTAAGTGGATAATTGGTACTTCTGATGTGAATCATGTACTGGTTATAACCGATATAGCATCAGTAGAGGAATCAATTATGCTGTTTTTGTAGTAGTACATGAAATAATTGAACTTTTGAAGTGCTTTGGAGAATCTATTTGGTGAGGTTTTGTACTACATATCCACTTGTTTACAGGGATTAGTCCTCCCTTTGCATGGAATTTGTTCTGGCATGAAGAAACTTTCTGCCAAGTGTCTTGTATCTTATTGTTCCCAAACTACATGCATTGATTTTGATCCATAAATTTGCATTGCATATACCTGTACGAACTAACCTTTTGCCTTTAGCATATGATTCTGTTATGTTGCAATAACGGTTGAAGCTTGCTTTCTTTCCTTAATTAATTAAATAATGCCCTTTTTGTCAAGACCAATTATTAGACGAGTAAATGCTTACTGACAATTACTTGAGCTCCAACAAGGAGACAAGTGGAGATTAATTTCTTGATAGATAGAGTGATTGACATAACTTGTTTTCTTTAGAATGATAGTGGATGCTCTTATAGTGAGTAGACATATAAGCTATAAGTTTGGAGATATCAAGTGCTACAAAATTAGTTGGTCATGATGGATTACAAAACCAATTCTTATCATCAACAAGTAATAAGTAATTTCCAGAAAACTTGGATTTTGGATATTTTTGCATTGATTTCTTCTTTACAATATGAGACACGAAAGAAGTTTATGAGGGTAAATGATAAAACTGGTGATTGTTGCTCAATCAGCTTCATAATGCATTTATGTCCCATAAAAAAAAATTAAGAAAAAAAAATTCTCATTGAAGAAACTTTGATGGTGTTTCAAAGCTAAAATATTTTAGAGAAATAGAGATTCAAGACTATTTAGATTCGAATAAGTTTTTTGTTAATATTTTTCGTAAGGAGTCATATGATGATACAGGTGATTCACACCATGGCTGTTCTCTATTGATGCATATTAAATAAGGATTGTATGAAAATTTCTGGCGTGGTTATTTAGTTTCTGCATGGGTATATGCATGAGCAATATGAGTGTACATTTTCTGCAATCTGATAAGTGATAAAAAATGTCAACAGTTTTATTAATATTTTAAATATTTATATTCATGATGTTATCAATTATGTCCTTTTCCTTCTTCTTTTTCTTTTTATTTTGTTCCTTCTATCTGAGATACATTATATGTTATCAGTTTTGTTTTCTTCCATTTGAATCTCCTTTTTTGCCCCTTTTGTTTTTTCCGGTCCATGTGATGCAGACGCATTATGTTCTGTTGCTTTGCTCCTTCAAAGACCAATTGCAGCAACATGTCCGTGTTCATGCTATGGAGGCAGTAATGGCATGCTGGGAACTTGAGCAATCTCTACAAAGTTTGACAGGTAGTTATCCCTTCTATGGAAAGGAAAAGAAAACATAAAACATAGGGCCTGCTAGCCTATGCAGTAGAAAGCGAAATAATTCATAAATGATTTGTTGCATGTTCGGTAACAAGCTGCTTCTTTCTCGCTGTTGTTTCAGTGCATTTATCTTGCAGATCCGCAATTTGTGCTGTTAGCTTGGTGTCATATTAGTTGTCCTGCTTCCATGTCAATTGTATCGTACTTGATCCATGCTGTTTAACATTTTCCTGTGCCAAGATAAATTTGGATGGTCGATTAATGATTACATGAAGATATTCATCTTAGTTCATTTTACTTGTTTGTTTTTCAATATTGAAAACAAACACTTCCATTAATAAGATATCAAAGTTAAACCATGGCCAATTAGCCAACCCCTGGGCCAACTGTGCCTTACCTAGTTAGGAAGGCCGAGGTTTAACCAATCGGGGCATCCACCTCCCTTTTTCAACCCCACTATTACTGTCTAAAATTTGAAACAGAGAGTAAGGGAAAACCCCATTTAGTTTCTTACATGAAATGCTGCAAGTAAAATGCTACATAGTTGCAATTGCATCATTGCCGCAACTAAAGTGCTACATATAGCGTTTCATTGAAATTAAAGTTGATTTATGGCCTAAATCTTCCTATTCATTTTTGTCTTTTGTAGAACTTTCGTGGTTACTCGTAGCATTAGTTTAGAATTGTGATGGTATTAGTGATGCCTACATAAAGAGAGTGACCCATCATTCATGCCATTCATTTAAAGGGTTTGCTTGGCTGTGTGCCCTGGAACTTCAAAGCATCACTTCATCTGTGGGGGGCAAGGAATTTCTTTGGATAGCTATTTGTCCAACATTATCTTGGGTGACTTCAAAGGGTGCATCGTTTATCAACATTTAATCAATTGTAGTTTGTTTATTTGTTCGCTATGTTCTAGTCTCTGACAAATTGCAGCAAACAAACATATTTTTGTGCTGAAACACTGTTTTTCTGTGAACTATCATTACTTGACTGCTAACGAATAACATCAAATGCGACAGCTGTGGGTGACTTATGATAGTTCCTATGGCTCTGTTCTCATCAGTCAACAATGATTCATTCTTGTCCATTCAATGACTTCTATAGCATTTAGGTTTGCAGTCTCATATTATTATAGCTGGGTACAAATTTTTCTCCTGTAGAACGTGTGAAACCCCCAAAAGTATTTGATATAAATTAGCTTGAGCTAGGACTCCTGGTGCTTCTGAGAGTGAACCCGAAAGCAACTGAAGATCTCATGCTCTTTGGCTTTTCCTTCTTTTTAGATGACAATCTGCATTTAAGCTAGGTTAAATCAGACTGGTGTGCATGCCTAAGCTTAAAACTAAACCATTGTGCATGACAGGTGTATCTCCTGGGGAAGGCACTGGTGCAACTATGTCTGATGATGATGATGACCAAGCAGATAGTGATACCAACTTGTATGATGGAAATCTTGATGGGTTGGATACCATGGGATTTGGTCCTCTAGTCCCTACTGAAACTGAGAGGTCCTTGATGGAGCGTGTAAGGCAAGAATTGAAGCATGAGCTCAAACAGGTATGAATGCATAAAATTCGATGGTAAAATACTAGGTGAAGATGGTGCGGCTAAGCAGCTTTCTTCTGTGTTTAGGATTACAAAGAGAAGATTGTGGACATTAGAGAGGAAATTCTACGTAAGAGAAGAGCAGGAAAACTTCCAGGTGATACCACATCCCTCCTGAAAGCTTGGTGGCAAACACATTCCAAGTGGCCATACCCAACTGTAAGTGTGCGATGATGTCCTAACCATATGCCGTTAATATTTTGTCGCCGGCTCCTCAAACTGTTCACTCCAAATTGCTTTTTAGGAGGAAGACAAAGCCAGATTGGTGCAGGAAACTGGGTTGCAGTTAAAGCAGATAAATAATTGGTTCATAAACCAAAGGAAAAGGAACTGGCACAGCAGCCCTTCAGGATCTACTTCGAAGAGCAAACGAAAGAAGTAAGCTAGCTCTAATATTTTTCTCTGTGCACATTGGCTCCTTCAAGAGCATTTTGCCAATGGTAACGAAGAAAATAACTAATGCAGGTGATACCAGCGTTAAGCATTTCGTATAACTGGAAAGATTTGAAAAGTAGACCTGCTATGTTGCCTTCGTGTACGTACCTGGAGAAGGCATCAAAGCACATTTGGGGCCATTGCAATGAGAAAGAATTCTGTAAGGGTAGATATATTCTGTATGGATATCCCAGTGTTGCTCAGACTGGAAAGCTCAGCTTTATGTTGAAAGTGGCTGCTATATATTCAATATGTAAAGATAGGCTAAACTCATTGGCCTATCAATTCCAGTTGAGAAGTGTGCTTTGAAGGCATACTGATACAATAGATCTCCTAGTTTATAAGCATATGAGATTGAAAGTTTCAGTTTGGATAGCTTCCTTTTGTGCCATGGGCCTGTAATTTTGCAGTTATTGGTTTATGCTTTCTATATTTGTGATAAGAATAGCTATAGTTAAGGTAATGTAATTATATCCTTTTACGTTCTAAACCATTTCATGGCGGCTTTTTGCATAATCAAGAAACGTGCAGGGGTTGTGATTTGATCGTTGGAATTCGAAATCGGAACGCCAGTGAGTGCAGTTGGTCGTAAGCAGGAAATTTCTCTCGGATGTTCCTTGGCAATGTGGTTGGCCTCGCTAAGACTTGACTGGGAAATGAGTGCGCTACCGATGGTTAGAGCATCCATGATTGTTAGAAAACCAAAGCACTCTTTTGTTAAAAAGGGGATTGGCAAGGTAGTTTAGAATAATTTCCCAGGTTAGACAAAGGATTGTTCTTATGGCTGAAGCAATGAGGGGTAGAATAAAAGAATGCGAAGACCAATTGTTCAAGGAAGAACGAAGAATGTTGTAAGAACCCAAAATCTATTGGGGTCTTAGAGCCCAGTACAAAAAAAAGCAAGCCCTTGCAAGGCCTATCATTTGGTAACACATTTTTTCAGTGGAATGGTTTTTAAGATATTGCACTCGAAGTACATTGATTTTTAACTTTTTTTAATTGAATGTATGAATTTTAATTTTTTTGATCTGATTATACTGAATTTTTTTAAAAAAATTATCAATCAAGTATTTTTATCAATTTTTTCATTAATTGATAATGTATTCGTTTTCTCATAATACTAAATTATAATTCTATTTTTTTTTCAATCGAATACATAGATTTGTTTATTTTTTCTTTCGAGGGCATAATTTTTTTAAAATTACCAATCACATATTTTCATCAATTTTTTTATTAACTGATAATGTGTTTCTTATTTTTATAATGTTAAATTATAATTTCATCCTCTTTTATTAGAAAAAACTTTCCTCTCAATGCTCACAAACAATGATTCTTTATATATATATATATATATATATATAAAATAATCCTACATTTGTACTTTTTTTTAATTTTTATGTCTAAACCTAAGTGAGTTTTTTTTTAAACAAAAAACCTAATTGAGTTTAGTTTATGGTTTTATAGCTAAAAAATAATATATATTTTTTAAATCTTTGTCAAATTATGAAGAGGTAAAAAAATTTGGGAAAAGAGTTCCCTTCAACAAAAAAAAAAAAAAGAAAGATAAAATTATGATTTAATATTTTTAGGACAACAGAGACATGGATAAAGTATTTGATTAGTAGTTTTAAAACAATCAACAAATGAAAAACATTAAAATTTATGTACTCAATAATAATAAAAAAATTATAATTTGATAAAAAGCGAGGATAATAAATAAATTATTAGTTAACAAAAAAATGATGAAAATATATGAACAACGCGTTTTTAATTTTTAAATTGATTTATTCAAACGAAAAAAAAACTATTTATAGCATAATTATCTCCGTTTCTTGCTAGTTGGCAGGGGACAAGGAAGAGGGTGACAAGCGTAGTTGGAAAGAAAGTGAAGGATGGAAACTGGAATGGTCTTTTCAGAGAAAAAAATAAACGAGTTATCGCCTTTCCATCTCCGTCAATCTGTAGCAGAAAAATTCATTGGATTTGGAAGGGAAATCTGCCAGTTAATTGTTCTACCAAATAAACCAATTTAATCTTCTTCCTGCCGGGTAGGGCATAGTTAATTCTTCCTGCAGATTCATAGCATGCTGATTCTTTTAAGCAAAAGATGTTTTGGTAACTCTAAAAGGTCTTCTAGAATATCTAATTTGACTGGTTCAGAGTTTCCTTGTTCTTCCTTGCACGTTTCCCAGCAATTGAGCTATTTTATATTTTATTTTGATTTTTAAAATTTTGGATTCTTTAGTCTTATCTTTGACATTAGTTTCCAAAAATGACCGCAAACCAGATCATTCTCCAGTTTGTTCAATCCAAAGGAAGAGCACCCAACAAATAGAAATTACTAGCGATGAAATGAGGATTAATGTTGATGAATTGAAAAATGGAGTCTTTGAAGGAAACCGAACACGTTTTGGACATTGAAAACAAGAGACAGTATGTTCTAAACAAAAAACTATGCAGAGATGTCCATGCCATGATGCCAACCATCTAATACATTCACTCCAAGAATCAAAACATCCTGTACATAATCACAACCAGTTCCTACGAATTTCTTGATCTCCAGAAGCAGCAGCAAACCTTGAAGAGAAACCAGGAATCAAATTATCATCTTCTTCCCTATCAAAGTTCAGAGCATAGCTTTCAGCATCGTACTGAAACTGGTTATTCCTTTGTTTCTTCTTCTTGATAAATGCACCAATCTTTCTAATGAATGTCTTCCACTTGGGCCCTGCCAATACCTCAGAAGCCTCCTTCACTTTGTTCAGTTTCCTCACCAACCATGGATCTCTATGCTCGCCATTCTGGTTCAAAAGATCATAGTCACGTTCATTGTTTCGCCGCGAATTAAACGTGAAGAGTCGAAAACAACAGCACCCGGTAGGTGAATATGTCTCTTCTTCATGATCATCAAGGTGATCATATCCTTCTTGTTCATGTGACATTGTTGGTGAATTGATGGGGCTCATGAAGGTTACCTGAGGTCTAGCCATGTTTTTGCGAGAGAGATAGATACAGAGAAATGAGATGGAATGGGATTGGGAAGAAGAGGTTCTTAATAGGAAGAAGCCATGGAAGGAAGTTGAAGAGAAATGGGCGAGGAAGTATCAAGGAAAGGGAAACTTTAAACTCTTAGCATTTGAACTGTCTACCTAATGATATTTGCTAAAATGGCCAACAGGAATGCACCATTTGACGGTAAAATGACATTTGACTCAGCTGATAAGTTTTGAATGCTTACATGGCTCTCTGTGATTGGCCTGGCTTTCTTAAACATTTTGTGACCTAGTACTATTTTTGCCGCTATTTGCGAAACGCGGTATCTTAAACGAGTTAGCCACACGCTTGCAAAACTATTGCAACAAAGAACTTGCATGTGAACAGTCAAGAAAACACGCCATAAGACTTGCCTTCCTTTTTCGCTTTCACTAACATTCCAAATGCTTGGATCTCATGCTTTTTGAGAGAATGATTTGCACACCAATGCATGTCCGGATGGCTTGTGCATGATAAAATTTAGTCGCCAATTAGGCTTGGCCGGATAGTAAGAGGTTTATTCCTCGTAGTATCATTTTGGGTTTGAAATCAGGAGGAGACGGCAGAAAACGCTTTCTCGTAAATACACAAGTTCGCATGTAAACGACGACCTAGGATTCAACCAGAAAAAGACTGTTTTGCAAAATTTTGCCACAATGATATGGAACAATGATATGGAACGGTAACGGAACCATTATGCCTGCAGTAATTCGAATCATAGTTTTAAATAATGATTATTATATAATGATTTCGGAATATCTCATTGTCATTATTTTAATATTTATGATAAGCCGTGATGACTACGATCGTTTTTTCAATCGTCTGTTATTTAATATTATGATTCGGATTGTAACTTGAAAATGCCAAAATGAAGATGAAAATGCCAAAATAAAGATAATTCTGTTCAGGTGAATATAACTGACCGGGCGCCTTTAAAGGGGAAAGGGGAAAAAACAGCGATTATCATATCCATTAAGTTGAAGTTCTCAAGGTTCGTCCAAATCTGTCAAAAAAAAAAAAAAAACCTCGTTATCTTTGCATAAGGCTTATAATTCGTTCATACGAATGGTGTGTCGTAGGCAGCTAACCTTTTTCATTTAAGAATTCAAGGATTCTCAACTATGAATCTATGATGCGGCTACATGGGATGTTTGTGTCGTTACATTATATTTCAGTGTCATCACTGCTTTTCTTCATCCATTTTTTTTCCTAATAGGAAACCTTTTTCCCTTCACTTGGGAGATCATATAGTTTCAGGAAGATGCCATTGAAAGTTCTATGTACAAACTAAACCTATCAGCATCCAACTGTAATACAGCTAACGCATCGACTCCCCATACACTTAGTTACATGCTCCTAGTTAAACTGGTGCTCAATTCACAGTGGTAAAATAGTTATTATGGACTGACTCGTTAGATTTTGGAAAAATTGTACTGCATGCATTTTTGAAAGACATAATCACATAACCCATGCATCAAGCATCAGTGAATGAAGATCAACGTAGAGGTGGTGATGAAGATGCGCAGACAATTCAGCCCATGTTCTTGTGATGTTGGATAGATAAATAATGTGACAATGATATTATAAAAGAACAAATAAATTGCACCTCACTAACATTGTAACTGCTATATATCGTAACAACAAACAAATTTAGAACAAAATGTAGAACCTAACATCATGGCAAATTCTAAAACTGTAATTCAAAAAAAAAAAAAAAAGGACTTGTCCTTGCCTTCGCTACATTCAAGTAAAATACATACATGTCTTTCAATAAGCGAGAGAAGCAACACATTCCCAAGGATATGAAGGAGAGACACCAGAGAGAACAGCTTGCCTGAAATCATTTTTGAACCTGGGACTGTGTTGAAGGTGGCTGCTGCGATGGGTTCTGCCCTTTGGGAGGAATCTTTGCCGCCATTGCCCGCAACTCATTTGCAATTTCAGTGAAGTTTGGTCTGTCTGTTGGCTCAGCAGACCAGCATCTCTCCATCAATGATCTCCACTCTGGGTCACAAACCTCTGGCACTGGTGGCCGCAAGGTATTGCTCACAATACCACCTAATTAGCATTTTGGCAGGGCAATGATCGGTGAGACACATAATTGAGCCCATTTAAGTAAATGCCACATGATTATTTTTGGTATAACAAAAACCTTACCTATAATAGCCCCATAGTGCAAGTCTGCATATGGTTCTTCCCCAGTTAGAACTTCCCACAACACGATACCAAATGAGAACACGTCGACCTACATTTTAAAAAGAGGGAGAGAGAGGGAGAGAAAATTAAAGCACAAACTCATCAAGTGCAAAGAAAGAGAAACTGTTTAAATGCAAGATGGTACTAGAAGATGATTGAAAGCACAAACCTTCTCAGAGACAAGACTACTGCTTCCATTCAGAAGCTCTGGTGCCATCCACGGAAGTGTTCCACGCACACCACCTGAGATAAGTGTTTGACATTTCACCTTGGACAGGCCCAAATCACCAACCTGGAGCAAAAACCGAGTGAAAAACCAATATTTGCTATTGAAATCAGATACAGAATACTTAAGCAGTACATGCAGTGCTTCGCAGAGTACATGCATCAATATAACCTAGACCTTAATTTTGAACTAAAAAATATTGACTGATTTGTCATAAATGGATGTTCAAAATTTAGTAAATTACATACGATCATTTTGAAAATGGTGTTCTATTCCCTATAGCAGATGCAAATTGCCACTTAAGATAAGGTTTCATACGCATTTGAGTCTCTGATAACTTCTATCAATGACAAAGGCAGAGGCTTCTTGAATCCAGGAATAACAATAAATAGAATGATCTTATCAGTCATCACTAATAATAAAAAGAATAACTTCGAAACCTAAACTGATGAAAATAAAACTTAAAAGGATGAAAAGAGAAGGGAGAGGACTATTGCCATTTCACAAATATATTCAAAACTACAATAAAAAACACCACACGTGATACAGACTGGAGAAATAAAATCCACTAATTCACTCAAGTAAAAATAACAATTGGACAAAAGAGAGCTCAAATCAACTAAATAGACATTTCACTTGGTTAAGAAAATATCAGCCTCAAATTCTGTTGACAAGATATCAGCTTGCACTTGAAGATCGCAGCATCAAGTGCTGTTGAGAAGATAAGATTAACTCTGTTTACCTATGCTATTAAGTACAGATATAACACAATTAGTGAATCAAAGCTAAAGTGAATCCATTTGAAAACACTCGTATAAACCTCAATGCTATACATGCCCCTAAACCATTCTACTGAAAATCCCATAATTCAAAAGGACCTATGCAAGTTGCAACAGCTCTAAAGAGTTCCATCTAAAAGATTCGATTAATCAGCCTGAATGTGGAAGGAGAACTTATTTAATCAGATGCCCACATTTTGCCTTAGTGGAGTGAGATGACCACTAAATGCGACAAGCAAATTTTCTAGGTCAATTGGACACTCAGAACATTTCTCCAAATACTAAAATTATCAAAAGGAGAATGTCGACAGAAATGAATCCACAAAGGATATGCATGTCAGAGTTTTCATTACTCGATACAAGAAGGAGAGAATAAAAGCTCCTCTTCCTCCAGATCAGATCACTAACCTTGCATATTGGCCGGTGAGGATCTCGAAGATTAACAAGTAAATTGTCACTCTTCAAATCGAAGTGCACTATATTCTTTCCATGCAAGTATTCCATTCCAAAGGCCACATCCATGGCAATCAAGTGACGCTTACGCTTGTCAAGGCTCCTGATACCAAACAAGTACTAAATCAAATTTGTCTTTCATAGTGGTGCATGAATTAGAATGGAGAGAGATACAGGTTCATGAAAAGGAACTAGAAGAGAACATGGAACCTCTCATTCTTCTGCAAAGCATTTCTTAAAGAGCCATTAACCATGAACTCCGTCACTGTTGCCACAGAGTCTCCAGGGCCATCAAGAACAACACCATAAAAAGCAACCACATTTGGGTGGTGCAAATCAGCAAGCTTAATTGCCTCATTCCAGAAGTCATCTCTCTGATTTTGAGCATATGGCACAGTACAGACAGTTAGCAAGTCATGAAACAGAAATAACATCAACAGAATCAAAGCCTAACAGATGAGATGGGACAAAACACGAGAAAAACGAAAACCAACCATGCGTTCTTGTTCAGAAGGTTTCCCAGAGAAACACCTATCATTGATTCGTTTGATTGCCACATCAGTACCCCTCCACTTCCCATGATAAACAGTGCCAAAGGTGCCAGAACCCAATTCCTGCAGCTCTTCAAGGTCACTGTTCTTTATAATCTGCCAGCCAACAACCAGAAACATGCTTCAAATTGACCAGAACAATTATATAATTACAGAAAGCAAAAATAGTCAACTTTTCAACCTGCAACCGACCAAGGCCTTCTAATACTGGAAAACCAAAATTCACCTTTTCAGGCAGTTGGCTCTTCATGTCCTGAGTTGATAAAGAAAATAGGAATAAAGGAACAGTCAGATAAGTACCAGAGATGGCAACAGGAAAAGAAAAGCCAATTGATAATCATGAACATGCTCCCACACAAGTGCAATGAAAACAGAAGGGATTGGGCACCTCAAATTTAACTTTAGCTTTGTGCTGCGTTTCTACACCTTCATTTGAAACTTCTTTTTCTTTATTTTGTTCACAAGCAGATTCATTTCTTTCTGCCATGGTTGACTCTGGATTAGAATTTGCTGACTGGAAAACAGAAGCAGCTACCCCCTCAGCTACAGCCTTGAGTTCTTGCCTGATGAGTTCCTCTGCTGAACCTTCAACAGTGAAATAAAAAATGCTAAGAAACTACTTCTGCAACATAAGAGAAGATTTGATTTTATCCAGATTAACACAAACATAACAAATAATTATTGGAGCTATCCAGTGATAAACACACATGAGCACAAACAAGAAGAAGCTTCTGACCTTTGGATGATTGAGCATGCTCTGAATCCTTGTTTGAATTGCTCAGTGGCTTGGGAACTCCATCCTCCAACAGCACAGCTGTGATTAAGTCCACCTCACCAGAATGGTTCTCAATGAAAGGATCCCTATTACCAAAGGCTTCTTTTTTTGTTGCAATCTTGTTAGGTCTAGGTGGAGGAAATTGATTATCATGCCTTGAGTTCCAAGGATCCTGGCTGCTGAAGAGTGAGTTCGAAGAGTCCTGAGCATTGCCAACCCCACTAGATGGCATATTACCAGCTGAGGATAAAGCTTCCACGTCACTGGGGACAACCTTTGAATGCAATTGTGAATCATTCTTCCATTCAACAACAGGTGGGATTCTGTCATTTACATAGGCTGGCTCAACACCAGAGAATGCAGGGATTCCATAACTAATTTCAGCAGAATCCAGGGCAGGAATACCAATCTTGGATTGTAGATGTGATGCTTTATTACCCAAAATAGGTGGTTGTCCAACCTCATGTAATTCCACTGGTCGAGAAATAGGCATGTAAGAAACCTCTGTAGAAGGAGGCAACGTTTCAAACTGCTTAATATGATTTGGGTTAAGAACCACCTGAGGTTTGTCAAAGGTATTATCTAGAAGCACCTCCCTCCCAGCAATTTGCTGAGTTTTATGATCTAAGATTTCTTCCTTTCTAAATTTATCAACAGGTGACCTTTTCTGATCATTGTTAGCATTAATTTCAGCGGGCCGTATGTGGAGAGCTTCCATCATCCCATCAACTGGTCTCAGCTGGTCATAAGGTATGTAAGAGTCTACAGCATCTTCTTTGGAAACAATATCAGGAAGCTTGCCAGAGTATTCTTTCGGAGATTCATGAACTTGGTGTTCAGAAGCTTGAATGGATACACCAGCAGCATGAAGGACATCACTATTAGCAGGTCTACTCAGTAAGGTCTGGGGTTGCATTGGCAATGAATGCTGCTGGACATAATCTTCCACGTGAGACTCAGGAATTCCAACTGTGAACATGCCATGAGGAGACTGTACATCACCTGGTAAACCTGTCATGCCATAGGGAGCTGAAATCTTAGGTTGATCAGAATTGCCAGTTTTCAAGAAAGGTCTCTCATTATCATGAAGTGCCTCGATATTCTGAGATGACACAATCGATTCCGACTGTGGCATTCCACTATGACGATCCATATGACTAAGAATAGCAGGCTGAGAACCAGCACTTTGTTCAATAAACCGTTCTCCCGTGGCACCAGTTATCATAACCCTATTCATAGGCTGGGCTTTCATAGTATCTTCTAAACGAAGACTCTGATGAAGTGAGTCTGAATAGCTCATTCCAGATTCTCTTGGGTCCTGTACCAAAGGATCCGAATGTGCATGAGGCAGTGCTTTCTGACACATATAACAGTCCTCCATTCTAGGAATTTTCTCAGGAAAAATTACCTGTTGATGAGAAACTGACCCGTCGGAGAAGACAACATGCTCTGATTGAGGAACTTGGGTCCAGCCATAGCCTCCCCCAACAACTGGAGGAGAGAGCTGAGTCCGATAAACATTGTAGCTTGGATCAACAGGAACCTGAACAATCCTTGTTCCAAATGCATTTTCTTCAGGATAGTGCTCCAAGCGAGTTTGTTGGGGTTGCATCAATGGTTGAACCATAGCTGGCCTTATAGCAACATGAGAAGCTGAAGGTGTCATAGTCATATGCACTGCAGGAACATATTTAAGAGAAGTAGCACCTGCATTACTCTCGTGAAAATGCTGTTGGGTGAGTACGGACGCAGAATTACCCAGCATATGGTTATTTGGGAAACCCATTTGGGAAGGAAGATGCCTATAATCAGCATGATTCATAATTTCTTGACGAGGATCTACATAAGCCTGTAACTGAGGCACATGAGGTGGAATGCCCGACCCAACTTGCTGGAAATCATGGACCATGTGCTGCTGTTGTGCAGTAATAGGAACAGGCCTCTCAAATTCAACCTCAGGCTGAGGACATGAATTCTGCGGGGGACCAGACTTAATCATTGGAATTCCCAATGAAGCTGCAGAAGCACCAGCATAAGCTTGGGGATTGGTATCTGCAAAGACTAATTTTGGAGTAGAATCATGAGAAGTAATCGAATTATCCCTAGGGGATAACAGGCTGGTAGATGGGGGCCAAGACACATCCCCTTGACCAGGACCTGAGCTATCGACAGCCTCAGTCCCACTAAAATCAGAGTTTTGCGTTGAACTTACACTCACCATACTCTCCTTCCTAGTGATACGACTGCCACCACCATTACTACCATCATTACCACCACCATCCGCAACCCCATTTACTGCATCAAAATATTTCTGCCCACTATCATGTAAATCCCCAAATTGGACCGAACCAGAAGCATCAAGCTGTGAATCTGAAAACAAAAACACCCGTAACTTAGCTGACCCATCCAAAGACCTCTCAACCAACTTCTCGTATTCCTCCATCATATTATCAAGATCATCAGCACATGAAACAGACACCAATGCATCAAGGTCCTCATCGGGAAGCTGGTATTTAATAACAACAGGCTGCTGATATGTGTCCATCATCTTCCGCTGTAGCTCATTAAAGCTCACATCTCTCCTCACACTAATAATCCTTGTTTGCCCTCCAACATATCTCAACGCACCATCACTTGGTCTGGGCAAAATCTTCCCCCCAAAACTACACAAAAACTTTACTTTCCTCCGTGACACTGAATTATCCCCACCATCTTCACTCCCATGGTCAGCCCCACTACCACTACCACGACTCCCCAAATTGGGATTATAACCTGACCCCATATTTACTGCCTCATTGCTCCCATTAACATTAACCCGATTCCCAAAATCGGGTGAAGAACCGAATCCCGACACCATATCATTCCCAGCATGATCAACAGCATTGCCAACTATCCTGTTCCCTAAGTTAGGATTATAACTGAACCCAACACCCGAACCCACATTCACACTCCCCATCGGCATCGGAACCGGCACGAGTTGGGCCCACGGGGCAACCCCATGAACAGTATTCCCATATCCTAAACCTACAAAACCAGCATCAGCCATCGATGCCGGATAAATAACAGGTATAGACCCTTCTGGGCTGGCAAAAAATTCTGGGTTTCTACCAGCTGTTGCTGGTGTAGTGACAGCACTACTACTAGCACCAGCAATAGCAGCCACAATGCGGGGTTCTTCAGGTACGGTTCTAGCTATGTTTAATGGCCTTAGATCTTTTGGTATTGGGGTTTGATCAAAAGCCATAAATAAACTTTGAATTGAAAAAAGAATCTACCTTTATTCACAAACTTAGGGTTTCCCAAATGGGTTTTGCTCTACACTACTCTGACAAAACCATCACAAACCCTCACAAGATTTTGCACAAACAGAGACAATCACATATAACACTTAATAGGCTCAGAAACGGAGTTAAATAGAGAGGAAGAGAGTCAAAGTTACCAGATTTGAACGGTGACTATTGGGGATAGATAAGAAGGAGAAGAAACGACACATAAAACAGTAGCTCGGTCGGTGCAGCAGAAGAAACTTCAAAATAGCTTAGCAAAATTCAGGGCTTTGTAAGTGGGTGAATCTTTCTCTCTCTGTTATCTTATTCCGTTTTTTTATTTTTATCTTTTTTAAAGTTGGTTTAGAATTACTAGGCGGGGTTTTCTGGTATTATACTAGATGTCTGTGTTTTTTTATAACTTAGGTTTTAAGGAAGGAAGGAGGGAGAAGGCGAGAGGCACGTGGACCGTTCCATGCAAGTTGAGTTTGGTCAAATGTTCGTTTATTGTTTGTTTTGAGTGGAAATTGGAAAGTGACAAGATTGAGTGAAGGAGACTTGTGGGAGAGAGGTTGGAAGTGAAGGGCGAGGATCTCTCTGTATTCTACCAATTTTCGTTTTTGCCTACAAGAAAAGAATTCGTATAATTTATGGGAAAATTAGATGGATGAATGAAAATACTGAGCTGTTACTGGCAAGTTTAAGTGCTAGAAATATTATTTATTTTTTTATTAACAGGTGATGAGATATTTTTAAATTAATTTCTATATTAATCGAACTTAAATTCATTATTTTATGAATTAAAATAACACTAAAATATATCTAATTTGATCGACTATCAAACTAACTTTTAAACCGAACAAACTCAAGCCCAACACTATTAAAAAATAATTAATTTTATTTGCACAAATGAAAATTGGGTTGTTGGTTATCATTTTATTTGGTAAAGAAATTGATGTGGTTTTAGAAGGAAAAAAATCAAAATTTGCTGGCAAAGTAATCTAAATTGATACGAGTTAAATAAATGTTTGATTTACGAATATTTTTTTAGGCAAAGTAAAAGAGAAAACGTTGATATTTATTGCATATTAAAACTACAAATATTCATATGTCATGTATGTATCATGCATTTAGGTTCTTTTATATTCGAAAGGAACCATGAATAGCTCTATTTCTAATCTTTTCATTGATTTTGAATTGAACAATCTAATTTGTATTACAGAGCAGACAGTAATTATATAAGTTTTTGATAAAATTATGTATGTTTTCTTGTATTAAGTGGTTTAAATTTTAAAAAATATAACCAACATGTAAGAGGAAATAGCACAAATTCTAAATCTATAAATATCTTAAAATGAAATTATATTTTGACTAAAAACTTTTTCATATTAAAATTCAATTTTTAACATGGGATTGTCTTTTTTTAGACACATTGATCTATTATTGGGACTGTATAATAACCGTACACAAAGGTCGCATTTGTTATACATCCATAATTATATATGATATTTTAAGATCCTAAGAATAGTAACAGTTGGGATGAGCTTCTATATATATATATTCATTATTTTTTATTAGGATAAATATATCTAGTTGTTTTTTATATAATACTCAAAGTTTTTTATATGTTTTTAGATTTTCAACGTGAAAATTTTTGAAATATTTATTCTATCTTTCGATCAATTTTTTTTATCATAGACAAACTTTTTTACTAAAATTCCATTTACTAAAATGTAAAAAAAATAATAAAAAAAAATAATTTTTTATTTTTTTTCCATTTCAATCAAGAACATTTCAGTCAAAACAAAATTCTATGTTCAGAAAAATTGATCACAATGACATATTGAACATTTCAAATACTTTTAAAGACAAATGGAATGTAATTTGAAATCTAGAGACAAATGAGAGGCTTTGAGTATTATATAAGAACAGTATAGATATATTTACCTTTTAATTATATTTGATATTTTCTAATATATCATTGTTGTCACGAAATCACCATTAATTTTTTTTTCCACGAGTTCATCTATATATACAAAATTTGGATCCAACCATCACAAATTTTGGGTGTATTAAGGCTTAAAAATTTATTATCAAACCTAAATTTTTATGTTTGATTTGAGTTCGAAAATAGTTTTGATATTGTAATATTATTTGTGAGGTTCAAAAATGGTATTTTGTGATGATTTGATGAGGGAAATAGGGGAATTCCTCCAATAAATAATAATGAAAAAAAAATCTCAATCTAAACATTGGATAATTCATGTATTAAAATAAAATCAAAAGAAAAAATATAAGATATGTCAATTACACGATTAATGGTTTTGTTTAGAAAAAGAACATGTACAAATCAAAATCACAAACCACAAGTCTCAATTTTCTCTCTCTTTAAGCAATCAAAGTTAGGATCAATCAATCAACAATAATTAGAACACAATAAATAAATACAAGCACAATTAACAAGCAATTTTTTATTTGAAAACTTTGGTATGGAGAAAAACTATGGGATGTAATATACTAAAACTCTTATACTCGTATCAAAAAAATAAGATACATGATTCTTCCTAAACTCAACTATAGAATCCATATTAAAGCATCAAAGTCATCATTACATAGATTAATTTAAACAATAAAAAAAAAGGGACTAGAGCTCACCAAATAGGTTTTTAAGAAATAGCCAAAAGTGAAAGCTTCTCAATGATCACACTATTCAAGTTAAAGAGCTTATCGTCATAAATAACGTATCAAAATTTTATCTCAATGAGGTTTGAAATCTTTGTCCGATCAAGATAATAAAGATAAAGAGTAACATTTTTATCTTTCTCTCTAAAGGGCGTAATTTGCGTTTATTTCTTTTTCTTTATTATTGTCTGTTGCTATAGCTTTTGTTATTGTTAGTCGCCTTTTATTGATTTTGACGACAACTAAATAAGCCAAAGTTTGTTTAATAAAAGGTTAAGTCATTTTTTTTCCTTTATGTGTGTATGTGTGTGTGTGTGTGTGTGTGTGTGTGTGTGTGTGTGTGTGTGTTTGACACCCCCACCTCTCGTTCACTCTCTATTACCCAAATAGGAGTAACTAGGCGAGGCGGGTCATGCCGACATGACCAATTTCTGAATTTACCTTAAACACATGTGTGTTTATACATTAAGGACTTACCATACAATAAAACGTGACTAAGATAATTTACATAATATTAACAAAACAATGAAAGAAACTATAAAATTTATTTACAATACCATCAAAATATTCATTGACACCCAACCCTAAAAATTACAAATAAACTAAATAAAATCCCTTAGGGTTTATGTCACCCCCGACCCTTGTTGGAGGATCCAACAAGCATCCTTATTGGTACTACAGTCAATGCTACATGTCATAACATGCAAATAACAACGAGGTGAGTTGAAGCTCGGTAAGTAGGGTGATGTACGTGATATGCAATGAAGTTCTATTTTCCATTCTACCCATCCATTTTTAATTCGGATACCTTAGGTATTAGCAAGCTCGTGCGTTCCATCTCTCGATGATCGCATTATCACTTATTGCTCTATTACTCTCTTTCTCTCTCGGTGATCTCATTATCACCTACTCCTCACAAAAGAATTACCCCTCATCAGTAGCACACGATTAGCGAGAATCATTCATCGCTTAACGATATTATTAATAGAGCACACACATGGATTCATGCTATTACTCATTTCATTCAATTCGGTTACCAAACCTGTTTTATCTCATAACTCAATGATGTTTCTCGATTTCATATCACCCCCGAATGCACGTGATGCACGTGGCATTATGTTTAGCACCTTCAACTAATTATGCTATCGTTATTTTCTTCTCGGACCGTTTTCATGTCCGATGCACACTCGGACTTTACAGGTGTTTCATGTACCATTTAAAGTATTCAAAATGAGAATAAAATTTTTGTTCATCGGTAGCATTCATTGCATAAATCTACGTCGTATTTATGAGTTTTTCCTTTTCTAGGTCACTTCTTTTTTAATGACTTACCAATTCATATTTAGAAGAATTACCAAAGATATTTAAACCTTAAGGTCCACCAAGGAACCCAAACTTAGTGATCAAATGTCCAATTTACCTAATGAAGTCCAAAATCCTATTTTTCTTTTAGTTAAGCCGGATGGGTTGTTAAGATGGCTATGGATTGCTTTCTTATGTCTAGTGAATTTATTTTCACCCTAAACTATTAACCCATTCCTAATTGAGTTACCATGATATTCTAGGCCCTTAATTTTCCTAAAAGATCAATTCTTTCTCCATTTCTCAACTTGGCCGAATGGTTTTAGCCTAGGAAAACTCTAGAAGTGTATTCCTTTTTCTTTTCAAGTTAAGCTTACCAAACCTAGGTTAAGTTCAATCCATTCGGTCCATACCCTTTTTCTTTATTTTTCCTTTCCAACCTATTCATACATTTAAATCTATCAAACAAGCTTTGCATGACAACAAAACATATAAATCCATCATTATTTAACAAGCCCTAACACCAACACAAACAACCATACCAATCCATAGAAAAATTATTACAAACCCATGAAATAAATACTAAAAAAAAATAAATTAAGACATTAATCAACCAAAAATGAAACCTACTTACCTTGCTTGAATTTCTTAAAGGTTGGTTAAGCTTTCTCCTTCTTTCTTTTCTTTCTTTTTTTCTTTTTCTTTTCCTTTTCCTCTCTTGTTTACCGTTTTTCTCTCCCAATTTTGGTGGCTAAAGTCGCCTAAAATTTTCTTATCATTTGCACTCTTTCATATATATATATATATATATATATATATATATATATATATATATATATATGCTTAAAGTCTTGGTCTAAATAAGTGTACAAATAGCTAGATTTAATTTGAAAGAGTGAAAAGTTAATAGTGAGTTATGAGAGAGAGGTGGCGGGTTTGAGATAAAAATGGGTGAGTTGGCTATTAATTCATTTAATGCATTACTTAGGTGTCT